GCCCCGCGCGGGCAGCTATTTATTTGCCGGGCCGAGGACAGCAGCCGCCCGGTCCACGCGCTTGTGAATAGGAATGCGAGCCCCCGTGTGCCATGCACTTTGCTTTGCCCCCGCCCCCGTAGCTGTAGGTCGTCTGCTGGAAACCGAACGGGTCTTCTCGTGTGAACTGCTTAAGTTAAGAACCCCCCGGAGCCGGCGTAGCGGCGCCGGGGCCGTAAAGAAACCCCTTGTTGCCTCCCTCCCCTGTACAGAGCCAGCATGAGCGTCCCGTGCCCCTGTGCTTGTCCCCAGCATGCGTGTGTTAAGACGAGGGCGAAGGAGAGCAGATGTCCACGTTAAATTATGAACCGAGGCGTCCAGATCATATTTTCTCATTAAAATCTGTAAATTCCCATTGACTTTCCGGTTCCTCTTTCCGACCTGCTGGGCCAGAGCTCCCAGGCAAACGCGTGTCTCCCCCACCCCGGCCGCACCCGCCCGCCTTGCTCCGCGGGGCAAGGAAACCTTCCTGCGAGCACCCCGCGCAGGCAAGGCGGCGGCTGCCTCCCAGGCTCGGGCTCACCTGCAAGTAGGAATCACGTATGATGCCATGTGCACACGTACCCTGCTCGGACAGGCAGCGATGCGGAGATGCCTAAACTTGCATGTCCCGCATCGCAGATTTTACCGCTTCACGCGCGCACACGCACTCCGGATATGCCTGCACCGTGCGCGCACACACGCCTTCTCTGGACTAACTACAAAAACTCACTAAACATTTGCCAGAGAAAGCGAGTTGCAAACAAAGATTTGAAAGAAAGGCTTTAGAGGACTAACTGCTACAGACGGTTAAAGGATCTGGATGGGTTTGTTTTGTTTTAAATCGGGGGCAGGGAAAAAATCTTAACTAGGAAACACGGCATTCTCCTTCACTCCGAGATAAACCTCTCCGAGCATTTTAATTACTTCAGCTACTTTCCCCCCGAATTGACCAGACCCCTTAAAAGCCCACCCCCGTTTCAACCTAGACCACACAACATTTTACTCCTGAAACTGCATGTCCATAGGTGATCATTTTAAACTAATAAGACCGAGGCAGTTAGTTACACCACAAACTGGATTTTTAAGCGGTCTCTTTTTCACTTTTAAGGATTTTGCAAAGACTCCACCGAGCTCCTGCGAACCCCTCATTCCCGCTAAGGAGATAATCTGGTGAAGCGAGAATGCGGGTCTTCCAGATGTGCTTGTTCAAATAACGAGATACTTACATTCTTATTAAAAAGCAAACGACACTGTACTCTAATGAGCCTGCAGGATGTAATCCTGCCATGTACATGATTGCGAAGAGGTGAACTTCGGTACATCTGAATGCGGATGTAGAGGTTTCAGAAACAGCAAGCACCAGCCCCATCTTAAATACAGAACAGGCGCTTGCAAAAAGTTATAGATTAGTGCTGAGGGTAATCAATCCGGTTGCAACCTTTTTTTTTTTTTAAGAACGAATCCCACTCAGAAAAAAAAAAGGTGGAAAATACATGAATCACTAGGGCTGATTAAAATGCATGAAGCTGCTAAAGCTTGTCAGATGGGGGACAACTGAACTCATTCATCAAGTCCAACCCACGATTATATCAACACGAACAGCTAAAGAAAGCATTCAAAACTTATCGCCAGATCAATGGCCACAAAACTCGACAAACTTTTCCTAAACAAGCGATGACCTACATTTTCATCCGACGAGTTATTTTTCTGTTCGCCTTGGGTGCCCCTTCCTCGCCCCCCCCCCCCAAATTCAAGAGTCAGAACAAATCCCCCAAGATGAGATGTGGACCCAGCGGAGGAGCCTTCCTGGGTCTTCTGAACTAAATAGGAATCACTTGAAATTGGGAAAGATCAGGAACAAATCATTCTACTTAGAAGCGTGGTAACTGCTCCATAGAGAGCCCGACTGTAAAGTAGGAATCGCAGTTTAACCTTGTTGGTAGCACGATTTTCTTCTGGTTTGAAATGCAGCTTGTACAGGGGGAACCCGGGCGCTGTCTGTCCGCACATGCCCGAGCCGGCAGCAGGGCAAGCAGGAGGAGGAGGGCTGGCGAGGGGCTTTGCACGGGACACTTGCAAGGCTCTCCCTGCCCCTCACCTCGGTAAACCTCAGATGCTGATTTCAGACGCATACAAACAAATAGGCGATTCAAAGCGGCGCTGGAATTTACTGCTTTGTCTTGTTAAAGCTCTAATGGCTCAAGTCCAAAGTCAATAAACAAAGATCTGATATAAACCGGCAAAAAAGAAGGGGGGGTGGGAGTGAAACAGCCACAGGTTACCGAGCTGAAATCGTCTTTGGGGCGAGGATGTTTTGCAATTATTCTTGCCACTCATGCTTTTTTTTTTTTTTTTTTTAAACTAAGCCGATCTGATGTAAGGGGACAGATAATTTTAGACAGAAGGCTCTTTTCTTTGGAAGAATGTATTCCAGCTCCAGCGATTAAGGTAAGGCAGCAAAGCCAGTCGTGCTTAGCCAAGCCAACAGGACCGAGCCCCGCGCTGAAAGGAGCTGGGCTTCTTCCGACAGCGAAGACTTATTCTTTATCCCTCACTTTGCAAGTCTGGACGGTTTTGCAGTTTGCGGGGAGGACTAATCCTGCCGGGTAAAGAGCAGAGCAGCTCAGAGATCGCTGGGAGGGAATTCTGCACGCAAAACCCTCCTTTTAAAAAGTGTTCCTTAGGAAACCGAGCGCGGTGTTATCTTTAAATCTTAATATAAATGTCACTTGGCGTTTTCTTTTAAACAACAACAAAAAACAGGCTGTGAAGCCTTGGAGGGGCTGTATTTGTTTCTTTTAAACTAACAACAAATTATCTAATTAATATGTTTCAATTACAGCATGAAAAAGAGAGGCTTTGGACCGCCTGCAGTGGGTTTACAATAGCCCCAGAGCCCACTATAGGAATGTACAATAACTTCACATCTGTTTCTTTATTTCCCACTTTTTGAGTCTAAAACTCCTCTCGAGATCACTTCAAACCATGGTCCAAGTTATGAAATATGTCCCTCTGCCAGGAAAAAAAAAAGAGAGGAAAGGAAAGGGGGGGGGGAAGGGACAAAACTTTGCAGATCGAGCCTTCATTTGCAAGTTAGAAAGTGAAAGCCCCATTGAAGAGCATTAAACAAATATATTAGAATTCTGTCACTTTATGCAATTGAGTAGATCAAATAAAGGGTCCCAGGCCACTTCATTCACTCTCATTCACTTGAATAGAAAATGCAAAGAATAGCAAACCTAGACTGGGCCACCGATGTAGATTTAGCCCTTTTTTTCTGAGAGACAAAAAGGCTGAATTTTCACAAACACATTGCTGACTCGGGGACTAGGAAACCAGCACTGGAACCCCTCGGGAATTTACATTCATTTTATCTTCCTCTCCCTCTCTTTCGGGGTCTGTTTGCACTACAGTGCGAGTTGCATTGGCATTCCCTACTTGAAAAAAAAAAAGCTCCGGATTTCCAGGCAGGATTTATCGTGCCGAGCTCTCATACAGTTTTGGAGCTAATACTTGTATTTAAAAAGAAACTGGGAAGAGGTGGGGAGAGTTGGGGGGGGGGGGAAATCAACCCTTGGTCAAAAGCTGATTAAATGTGTTCTGAGAAATGTAGCAGTTTCATTAGGAGCCTGGGCAATATTTTATTTCTGGAGCTCCACCTCTGAGGACTTTTTTTTTTTTTTTTTTTTTTTTTAAACTTAGTTGGGGATACTTCTTCTAATATGTGCATCTGTATGTACATATGTACAGACTCTATACATATTCCCCGGTCCATTGGCTAACATGTTTTTCTTACTTTACTGCTTCTTCATTCTTCAACTTTGAGATTTGGACAGTTTTCCTAAAACTGTACAATGCAAAAGAAATCAAGCAAACACTAAACCCTCTGACTTTGATCTCGCGTAGCTTGGATTTAAAAGTGAGTAGTTCCACTAGCATTAATTAAATTACTCCCGATTTACAGCAAGCACCCAGGTTTTAGGTTTTTTTACCTATTATATTATTCATGTAGCTGCCCTTGCAGGAGCTTGTAAGGGAAAAGGTGGTGTTGTTCAGTATAGTAGATCATGCTTTAAAATCGGAACTGGTCATATACCTGCAACAAACTGTGCGAAAATTACGCAGAGCGGCTAAGGCTTAACTAACTGCAGGTGTGTTTTGTTTCAAAACTAACATTAACATTCAAGTTGTATGACAGGAGGTCTGGTGTTTGGAGATTTTTAGTACTTTCTGAATAGACGTTGGCTTCTGTTTGTTTGCAGTGTATCTTTCGAGAGAATATTTAATTTTAAATACAGGCAAAAGTTGCTTTATTTTAGTCTTTCTGAATTGTATTCTACCTTTTCTTATGCAAACGGAGACAGGATCCCATAGAGGTATTTACAGTTCTGATAGAAGTTGGATTTCTCAACAACCATCATGCTATAAAGTTAAGCACTTCGAGGTTTTCAATTCCAAATGAGGAATTCATGAAATATGAATGCATTAGGGGGGACAAAGTGCAGGATACTGTAATATTATTTCATGCACCTTTCAGTTTCCTCAGTCTGCAGAGAAACAAAGACCAACCAACTACATTAGAGAACAGGAAAGCCGCAGTTGCTTTTTTCTCAAAGTAGCATTGAATATTAATAAAAATATATTTTACAGTCTGAAAGATTACTAAGGAATGCCAGGCATAGATTATTTGATTCTGCTTCCTGTTTTACAGCACAATTTTATTTTCAATTTATTTCCAACGAAGTGTCTTTTGCCAGGTGCTTTAACAACCATGGAGCATGAACAGGGTTTTGAGTTGAGCTCCCCAACACTTACCCCCAAGACCAGATGTTTCTACTTTGCTGCTCACGCAGCTGGGGAAAAACATTGGCAGAGAACACACAAGTGTTTAAAAGGTTAACACATATTCTCCTCTATCGGCACTGCTATATAAAGGATCTTAATTTTGTGCCATTTAGAAGAGCCTTGGTATTTATTAAGTGGTAACTAGAGTATTTTGCATTAATTAGAGCAGCTCCTTAGAGAGACATTACAGCCAAGAATAATTTTACACCACAGGAGAACTGTAAGCACTTTAAGTCCCCCCCCCCCTCCCCCCAAACTGAAATTGCTACAGACAGCAACAAAACACCCGCACCACTGGGCTTATTTGTAAATATTAATTTATAAGCTTTTTTCAAGCATGCAATCAGAAACAGTCACACTTATGCCTTGCATTTGGCTGCACTGGAAGCTGATGGGTCCCCAAATAAGGAAGGATCAGGATCATATTTTGGGTTTACTCTTGCTCCCAGTGATGATATGGCAAACTCCCAACAACATTAATGTGATCACATTCCTTGACACTCCTCATTTTCAAATTAGGATGATAAATCTAGAGCCTATCATAACATTAACCCAGGAACTCTGGACAATATGATGTCCCTTGATTCCTACAACCAGTCCCATTGGCAGCTGTAGGATTACTTATGCAAGTTTATAAGGCTTTGGCTCTTCTGCCACAATCTGGATATTAAGCAGCCCACAGCAGTAGACATTTTTCCAAAAAATTGCCACTGCAGCTCTGATTAACTTGATACAGATAAGTTTTTGACAGGGGAAAAATAGGATGAATGCCAAGATTTTGGGCGAGATCCTCCCCCTTCCTAGTACAAAGGGACAGAAAAGGCTGAAGAGACTCAAAAAAATCACCTTCCTATACATTAATCCATATGTTACCCGTCAGATCAGGACAAAGTGGATACAGCATTAGACATGATGTGAAGAACCCAAATATTACACAGACAGTCGATTCTGTAGCAGGGCACTGTGGTAAATGGAAACAATCAGGAAGCTTTTCAGAGAGGGGAAGGCCACCCACCAAGGGAACTTGTATGCTCCCACAGCTGCTATCTTTTACCAGATCTTTCTGTCAATGCCTAATCAATTCTGGTCAGTATAATATTACCTCATAATAAATTATGGTTTGGTTTGGCGTGACTCCTTCCACATTTCTCCTTTTCCTGTTCTTTGCATTTCTATTATGGAAGTTCCCCTTGGAGACCCACTCCACCTACACAAAAAACCTGAATAATGAAACTATGCTGTGGACTCTTGAGGAGTGAAGAAATGAAATCAAATGACAAATTCCATGCTATGGCCAGTAAGGGAAGCTTTTG